GCCTACATCAAAAAGTTCAATTGCAACAAGGCTTGATGGCGACCGATAAAGACCTGGATAGATGGAGTCAGGGAAACATTAACCACCCACGGCATCCCCCTGACCCAAGCTCTCCGGCTGGTGGCAGAGAGACGTCTCTTTCTTCCCGCGACACCCAAAAGGGTATAAGCGGAGGAAAAAAGTAAAAGTTAGCAAAGAATGACCTTTCCTGGGGACTTGTTTTTTTTTGTTGGCTGTTTTTTCTCAGATATTATTATCTCACATTGATTTTAAGAAATTGCCATATTTGTAAGTCAGATTGAGAACGAGGAAGAAGAAGAGAGAATGAGGAAGAAGAAGAAGAGAGAATGAGGAAGAAGAAGAAGAGAGAATGAGGAAGAAGAAGAAGAGAGAATGAGGAAGAAGAAGAAGAGAGAATGAGGAAGAAGAAGTAAGTCAGAAAAACCCAGAAAAACAACAACTTTGATTTTTAGATCTATGCTAAAACATTGTGAAAGGCCTATAACCTAAATAAAAATGCTAGTATCTCTTCATAATTTGGGGAGCTTGGTTTGTATCGTTGAAACAAGTCTGAACTCATCAAATGTGTTGAACACAGCACACTCTACCAGTTTGTCTTTCATCGAATTGACTCTGATTCCATTGTTCATTATTAAGGACAGCGCCCTGATGCACACACGCTTTGTTTGCTCATTAGATTAGACCCGTGAAGTCCATTGGGAGGATTTGATGAAGATTTATTTTGATTAAGCATGATTAACCCTACCAACAAGGACAAAAATCATTGCTTTTTTTCTGTTGGCGTTTTGCCCCCCCCCCCCTCCCCCAATCAAACCAGTATAAATAATTTTGGAGGCGCGCTTTGTTCCTGTCTGCTTTGTGGGAAAGGCTGCTTTGGTCCAGACGCACGTCTGACCAGGGCTGAGAATGATACAGCACCCCAGCAGGCAAACTGGATATATGTACAAGATTTTTGTAAAAACAAAATCCTTCCCATTCAGAAATCAAACTCAAGTCCTCTGTTTGAACGATCTTGTCAGTTTGATAGTGTTTGAGCGCGTGAAATCCGCAGCTTGCACTGTATGCTTCCTCGGAAGCCGACGAGAATGTTTCCGAGTGTTCTCAGAGGGTCTGCTGGGATAATATAGTTGTAAAGCGCATGGAGCAAGCTCTTGAGCATGGATATGCGCTATATAAATGCAATTATTATTATTATTATTATTATTATTATTATTATTATTATTATTATTATTATTATGTTTGCCTCGGCAAAGAGACTGACTTCTACACCACAAACTAGTATTCTTATTGAACATGAGAGCGTGAGTAAAGGAAGCACAAGATGAAGATTACTTGATTCTTTCGTTTGTACCCGTGGGTGTCGCGGGGAGACACAGGCGTTTGATCTCTGAGGGTGTCTGCAACAGATTCACTCCAGCCTTGCCTTGGTCTTCCTCGGGCTCTTCAGCCAGAATATTTGATGTTATATTCCCTCAGAGCTGGTTGGTTTGGGGGCAATTGTTTGAGGTATCCGAACCACTTGATCTTTTGTTTTTCAATGTGTGGTAGGACTGGTGCAGCTCCTTCCGTGTCCCTTATGATTCTATGTTTTTGTTATGTACCTTCTTGTCTTGTTAGTCGCTCTTCTTAAACATTTCTTCTCTCAAGTGACCAGCTTTCTCTCTAAGGCTTTTGTTAGTGACCATGTCTAGCACTGATATGTAAGTGTTGGTAGGAAAATGGCGATGAAGATGAACCCATAAATATGACATCTAAGTATAGCATGCACAAACAAATGGGCAATTTGCCAAAAAAAAATAGCAAAGAAGGGATCAATGAGAAAAAAAGTGATTATGACAAAGAAAATATGACTTTCACTTTGAGGTAAGAGAAGCATGAAGCACTTTGAAATACAATAGCTATTTTAGAGCAGATGAAACGTAAGACAGGTAGGAGACAAATAGCAGTGGGAGAGAAAAGGCGCCCAACAAACACCCGATAAAACGTACAACAAAAAAGACCAGTAAGATAGATTCCACATTATAAATTTATTAAATATATACATATTTTTCAGCTTGACGTACAAACGGAGATTTTGCGCAGTTTCAATTTTGTACAAAGAATTCTGAAAGCGCCCTGCAGTTCAAAGGAAAGGCACACACACAAAAAAAGATTATGATCATCCAAATATTACAGAAATTCAGTTTTCGAATTCTTGAACTGTTCTTTAAAGGGACAGAAAAACATATTGGCAGTTCAGTCTGTGTATACATATAATTATTTGATTCGAATTCCAAAGCATCAACAACGTGGGGTTGGAGTTCAGTCGAGATACAAGTTCTACAGAGTCAACATGGGATCGAATCTTAAGTCACGATGGGGTAGGAGCAAAGTCAAGATAAGAGTACTTAAGGGTCAATAACGTGGGGCTGGAGCTAAGTAAAGATACACGTTCTAAAGGGTTAAAAATGTGGGGCTGGAGCTAAGTAAATATACAACTTTTACTAAATCAAGAAAGTTCTAACGAGTCAACAAAGTGAGGTTGGTACTAAGTCAATATGCAAGTTCCAAAATGTTAACAACATGGGGTAGGGGCTAGTCATGATACGGGTTCTCAAGACTCAACGGCTTGGGGTTGGAGCTAAGTCATAATACAAGTTCTAAAGGGTAATAACATGGGATTGGAGCTAAGTCAGAATAATAATAAAATAATAATAATAATAATAATAATAATAATAATAATAATAATAATAATAACAATAACGATAATAATGATAAAAATGTAGATCTTTTCTATAGCGCTCACTCCCGTGTGGCCACAGCTCTGGGCGCTTTACATAACTGCATGAACGTACAATATTCACTCACTCACGCACGCACGCACACACACACGCACACACACACGCACACACACACGCACACACACACGCACACACACACGCACACACACACGCACACACACACGCACACACACACACCTACTTACTTATCACACTCACATGCCTACACACAGTTACGAAATGAGCACATACAAATACATAAAATAATATACACTATGCAATTCGTAAAATACATAAATGGATACATAGTCATTTACATAACATTGTACTGAACATGTATTTACTGACATAAAAATGATATTTCAAATTTAGACTCAGATGTTGTAGATCTAGATTCTATGTCTCAAGGTTTGGGGAAGAGAGTTCCAAACTGATGGAGCAAGGTGGGTAAACGATCTTTTAGCTAATTTGTTACCTCCTTTTCTAGGAACTCTTAAAAGATACTTAACCCCTAATCTTAGTGATTTAGGTGGAACATAAATCTGGATGAGATCACTTAGGTTTGAGAGAGTTTTGTTATTGACACATTTATGACATAATATTGCTATTTTATATGTGAAGCGTGCTGACAAAATGAGTTACTTCTCGGATTCGAGCCCTATAGAAATAGATATATCACGCTTATAGATGAAGTTTTTACAATTTATAAGTGTGAAATAATAGAAGGCATGTTATACTTAAAGAATATGACATCAATAGAAAATCTACAAATTTGACCCTCATGTCGATTTTTGACCAATATCTCCATTTGTGGATTGCGAGAAGTAACTAATTTTGTCAGCACGCCTCACATATGGTTTCTAAAGGGTGAATAACGTGGGGTTGGAGCTCAGTCAATATACAACCTTTACTAAATCAAGATGCAAGTTCCAAAGGGTTAACAACATGGGGTTGGGGCGAGTCATGATACGGGTTCTCCAGAGTCAACGACGTGGGGTTGGAGCTAAATCAAAATACACGGGTTCTAAAGGGTTAATAACTTGGGGTTGGAGCTAAGCCAAGATACAAGTTTTAATGTGTTGAAGATTCGAAAAATTAAGTTCTAGTGGGTCAACAATGAGCTTCGGCGCTATGTCAAGAATATGTAATCTAAAGGGTCAACAATGAGCTTCGGCGCTATGTCAAGAATATGTAATCTAAAGGGTCAACAATGAGCTTCGGCGCTATGTCAAGAATATGTAATCTAAAGGGTCAACAATGAGGGGTCAGAGAAAGTAAAACTGAAGAGTATGTTCACATTGGCTGTCAAGGCATGGTTTTTTTTTCATGGTAAACAAGCTTTTCAATAAGTATTTCGCAGCGCTAAAAAAAGCTTTCAACTCCAGTCTTGAACGTGGCACTCTGCTTCTGCAGATGGTCCTCCAGTCCTGCAGGCATTTCTCGGTCTCGCTGGCGGTCCTCCGACACATTTCAAGGCAATTACCTTTTCAGGCTGTCCATTATTCATCACTTCTTATTTGAGGTCCACCTGTCCAAAAGGTGGTTCAACAGGCTGTCTTGTCCTACTGGTGATATCAGAAAACCTACCACAGGAAGGTCAAAGGCCAAAAGAACAGCTGACAGTTTGTTAGTCCGTTGAGTATACATTTTACCGCTCCACGGACACAATTTTGACAGCGCAACACCAACAAGCTGCAAGGAACCATCCAGTATACAAATGAAACTTCAACACTCAAGTTGAAAATCAGCAAGCAGCTCTCCCCAGCCAGTTCTACTCCTGCCACCCCCTTCCCCCTGAAAAGACTCCATCTACACCTGCCACCCCTCCCACTATCCCGTCCAGCCAAAAATTCCCTCCGTGGGCGCGGAAAAAACCTTGCTTCGGGCAAGGATTAGAGTAATTCCT